CTTTGGGCCACCGAAGTCAGGCTTCTGCTCTCACTGCTCCACTGAAAGTGCCTCATAAAAGTCAGATTCTCTGGTTGCCAAATCTAGTGGCCTCTCTCAGCTTCATTGTACTTGACCTTTCTTTCTTTCTTCCTTTTTTTTTTTTTTTTTTTTTTTGGCCACACCCCATAGCATGCAAGACCTTAGTTCCCCAACCAGGGATCAAACCCGTGCCCCCTGCACCGGAAGCCTGGAGTCTTAACCCCACTGGACCACCAGGGAAGTCCCCTGTACTTGACCTTTCTAAGACATTTAACACCAACCACTTCCTTCTTCATGAAACTCTTCCTTTGCTTTCTACTGTCCTGATTTTCCTGCCTCTGGTACATTCTTCTCCTTTGCTGCCCCTCTAAAGTGGTGATGTTCTCCGACTCTTACTTCCCTTTCAGTAGTCTCATCTATCTGCATGATTTTAATTATCACATATACACAGCTGATTCTGAAATCAGAATTTTCCACCCAGATGCCTCTTTTGAGTCCAGGCCCACATAACATAATCCTTATAACAGTCCTACAAAATAGTATTGTTTTCCATACATATAGGTGAGGAAATTGAAGCTAAGGGATGTTTGTTAACCAGTTTGAGATCAAGCAGTCAGTGGAAGAGCCAGGATTTGAACCTCTGTGTAAAGTTAGGCTTTTAACTCTAAAGTATGCTATTAATCAAGCATCTCCATCTGGCTCCCTGACAGATAAATATGTCATGTCCCATACCAAATGCCATCTCACAACTCCATTCTCAGTCCCCCACCACCACACACACACACACAAAACCAAGAGGGAGAATATGAAACCTGTATTCTCATCTCAGTGAGTGGCATTCCTCCTTCCAGTTATCCAAGCCAGAATGTCATAGGGAATTGAATAGACTTCCCTCTGTCTCCATCCTACAGGCCTGTCCAGCCCAACAGAGCATCAGTTCCTGTGTATTCTCACTCTTTAACATAACTTGTACTCACTCCCTCCTTTTCACTTCCACTGCTAATGTAATAGTTGTTAACTTTATATCCACCTGGATTGCCGTAATAGTGACAATCCAGCCCATTGCTTCTCATGTTATCTGAGCTGAAGAATCAAGGTTCCTTGTTTTTTTGTTGCAGAAATTTTGTAGCATATAAAAAAATGAATCATTGGAAAACTGAAATGAAAAAACACATGTAAAATATAAGCTCCATTTTTAAAATTACTAAATTCGATAGATATAACATTACCGTCAATTAGCTATAAAAGTTTTTAAATACCAATTTTCTGTGTGTATCCTGTAGCAGATGGGTAACAAACAGTTTGTGGATTGGCACTGGTCCACAGACAGCACCGAGGAGCACCCGTTCATGGTATCTGATGAAAAGAAATATCTTCAGTTTTCTTAGATTATAACCACATGGGCCTATGTTATTTAAAACCGAAATATTTCAACTAGGACGTTCTTTGTTTTGGGCTTATAGATAGCTTGTATGTGGATTTAAGGTTTTAGAAAATTTCCTGTTTCTGTAGGATCCCTTCTTTCAATACAAATAAATCCCTTTAGAGCAAGGGGTAGTCATGTGTTACATTAAAATTTTAACGCTGAGATCAAAGTGTACTCACTTAAGAATCCAAAGCAAGATTTCTTAAATAGACTTGAAGTACAGTCTTCATGGGCTACCTGTAATAAAAGTGTTTTCCCTTGGTTTGATGTATTTAACTTGATATGATTGTACACACATACAAAAGTTTGCTTCTAATATGCGGTAAAAATACAGCAGATGGGTTGATGTGTTCCATTTATGAAAGATTAAAATTCTACATAGGTATTAACCTGATTGGGTGATAGATAATTAAATTAAGTTATCTGGGTGTTGCCAGGCATCTGACTAAGCCCTGGTCAAAAGATTTGGAAGTTAATGAAGTACAGACAGGAGATGCTAAAATGGTCAGACTGCAGAATACCCCTTGGCTTTAAATAGGGCATGGCTAAGAAATCAAAGACAAAAGCAAAGTTCTAAGCGGGTGGAATTCAGGTATGGGAATGCTGTAAATATTAAGCTGAGATTATATCTACAGTTAGTTTAGAAATTTATTAAATAAAACCGCTCAGACCCCATAGTTGTCTACTTCAGGCATCAGGTCTGATAAAGAACAGAACGCATGGGCAAATACCTAAGAGAACATAATCTTCCCATATGAGGTAAAAAAGTCAGAAAGGCCTTTTAGACATTGTAAAGTGAAAAAGCAAATTAAGTAACCTAATCTGCATTACTGTACCAGGTACTTAAAACTACCGCAGAAAATTTCTAACCACTGAGAGTTCATTAATAATTTAAGAAACTTTTTGAGTTCAATTACAGCAGTATTTGCTCTGTTAATGAAATGAATGAGTCTCAAATACAATTAACTATCAAAACAAAACAAAATTATGTCACAAGAAGTTGGGGCACTGTAGGAAGTATAGGAGATTAAATTCCCAAAGCAGAATGTTATAACTGTCACCCTTCTTACATTTCTAGACAAGTCACAGGAGATGGGTAGACGGCAGATTGCTGAACCCACACACCTGGAAAGTGATTAAAAGTTTTATTCAAAGAAAACTTTTAAAGCAGCATAGCTTTTATAAATTTGGGGATGGAGAGGAGGTAGGAAAAGGCAACCTCATTGGAGTCTCTATGCTCCCCAAAGCTAAAAGGAGTGAGATGAAGTGAAAAAGAAAATGTATTTTTGAAAGGTAATAAAGAGAAAGGAAGAAACAAAAAGAAAATAACTTTTTAAATTTACACTGTAGCAAGTTACGATGAGTTATGGGATAACAAGTGTTCACTAGGTGGACTGGGGGGGGGGGCGGAAATGATGACATTGCAGGCAAAGGGAACAGACAGGAAAACAAGTGGAGCATGGCATAGAAGAGCAGCCTGTCCTGTCTCAGATGAGCGAGCAGTTGGGATGGCCAGAGCACACGCAAGGATGCAAAGTCCAGTGCTGCTCGGGATCTGACCATGCAGACGGCTTAGACCAGTGCTTCTCAAACTTATGTGCACATCAGTCTCCTGAGGATTTGTTAAAATTCAGATTAAGGGAAGGGACTTGAGAGTCTGCTCTTCTAAATAGTTGCTGTGTGATGTAGATGCTTAGGTTCGCAGATCACACTTGTAGTAGTAAGACACTAAATTTTATCCTGATGTTTATTGGTACTTGGTTTCATGTATTATTAGTTGCCACTCTTCAGTTAGTACTTATTGAGTAGCACTAAACACATGGCATTTATGTCAAGCTAGATATTAAGGAATTTTATGTAAGTTTTGCCTTGCTGATGGTGAAATAATACTCTAAGCAACTTCATTGCCAAATACAAAAGAAATAAATAGGTACATCCTTTGAGCTAGTTGAGTAGGGAGAAATAAATAGCTCATCCTTTGAGCTAGTTGAGTAGGGAGATGCAATATAATAATGGAAAGAATCTAAAATTTGGGATCAGAGTTTTAGACCTGAGTTCTAGTATCAGTTTTGTGACTAAATAACTGTGACTTTGTGAAGGTAAATTAACTCCTATTTCTGTTTTTGGCTTGTTTGTTTTCTTGTGTCTGAAATAGTATAATACTTGCCATTTTATAGAATTATTGTGAGATTAGAAATG